GCCAGGCCTCGGGACTGTCAGGAAGCGACTCAGGATGAGAAACCGGTCCCGGGGAAAGGGTAAGGATTTTGACGGACCCCGTATTGAAAAATTCAGGACGTCGCATTTCTGGGCTAGTGTTCTTCGTGTTTGTTGGATGTTTTTGTGCGTCCTAGGGGAGGGTATCCTCACATTCTTGGAGGAGGTTCTTTTGGCCTGGGCCCGATTGAATACATAGTCCCGCGGAACGAGACGAACCGCTTTGCGGCGAATGGGTCCTCTCACTTTACCTCGCTATCTCTAGTGCGTGAGCGATGGCGCGTGAGTCTCATGCGATCTGTCAGCGCTTGGATTCGGGCGCGGGAGTATGCACGGGCCGCTGCAAGAGTATGGTACAGTTATGGGTGTGCGTGTGCCGATGTGAGTATGGGACTGGGCATGAGGCTGGGCATGCTTGGTGCACCTCCGTTTATGGGGGGTTTTGTAGCCGCCTTGTGAAGAATTTAGAAGTGCCGTCTTCGGCCAGACTTGGGCTGTCCATGGGGCTCTGAAGGTGCAAATCCAGGTGCCTGCGGCATGTCTTGCCACTGCTCCGCGCCCCACCACCCTCACACTCCTTGCCAATCTTTCTCTGAATCACATCCCTGTCCTGAGCATCTTAGAGCGTGCTTGGGGGTTCTTGGGGCTCTCTGGAAGCGTCTTGATGGCTCCTTGGTGTCCTCTTGGGGGCCTCTTGTGTCCCTGCTGGGTTCTCTTGTGGCGCTCGAGTAAACATATCTATAATGGCTCTCCGGCCCAGCCCGCCACATTGCCTGTGTTGTGGGTCATAGTCGGGGTCGGGCAGATCTCCTACCCTGACACGTCGATTCAGGAATCGGCCGTTTTCGGTTCGCGAGGGGGCGTCGCGGCCGTCATTTCTGCGGGTCCAGGTCCGTCGGTTTCGGTCCCAGGCGCTTTTCACTGAGGGGAGGTTTACTAAAGGGAGGTTTGTCCACCGCCGACATGGGCCTCCAGGATGTTCGATGTCGCGGGAGGCCCCTCGGGGGCCTCTCGGGGGCCACTTGGGTGCCTCGCGGCGGCCATTCTGGGGCCTCCTGGGGCGTCTTGTGGGGGGCCTCTCGGGGGGCCTCTCGAGGGCCGCTTCGGGGCCGCTTCGGGGCCGCTTTGGGGGCCTCCTGGGGCATCCTTGGGGCTGCCCTGGGGCCCCTTGGGGCGGAAGGCTCGGATCTTCGGCTCGTGCTCGCTCGCTCGGGCCCTCCTTGGGGCTGCCTCTGGGCCGTCTTGGGCCGTCTTGGGCGCCTCTGGGGCCGTCTTGGGGCCCTCTTGGGCCGTCTGGGTGCCCTCTGGGGGGGCTCTTGGGCCGTCTTGGGGCGGTCTTGAGGGCCTCTTGGGGGCGTCTTGGGTCGTTGGAGGCTCGAGAAGTCGAGGACCCGAATCACATTGAACAACCTCTGGGAAATCCTTGATTTTGGCCTCTCGGGGCCCTCTTGGGAAGGTGTTTGGGGCTCTCTTGGGGCGGCTCGAAGGCTTCCTGGGCCGTCTTGGGGCCGTCCGGGGCGTCCTGGGCCGATCGTGCGGCGTTTCGGGCCCCCCCTTTTGGACCGCCTGTGCGAGCTCCTGGCGGTCCTCTTGGCTCGTCTTGGGGCCCTCGTGGGCCCCGAACGTGTCGGCGGCAGGCCGCGAGGAGGCCGACGGGGCACGCGCCGAGCCCCGAGGGAAGAGGCGCGACAGTTGCGGGCCTGGGCTCCTGAAAAAACCGCATGCTTTGGGGCTGAGGCCAGAGGGATTCGTAGGGGGCCGCGTGCGGACCCTGCCCCCCCCACCCCCCCACGATTTCTGTGTGGGGGGGGTGGGGTTCACTGACGACAGGATTGGAGGGAGGAATGAAAAGACATGGATGAGTCAGAGATCCCGAACTTACGAACCATATGCATCACGTAATGAATTGACTCAATCGTGACGTCACCTTATCCTTCGCTAGAAACGTCCATGCTGGCATATTGTTGCATTGCTGTGCTGCCATGCTCAAGTGGTACGTTTCAGGTCGGCCCTATGACGTCTGGTGGCCTGGATGCTCTCTAGACTCCACGCTCCCCAGGCTCTCGTGGGACGCTCACGGGAGACAACTTCTCTGCAAGTCTGATAGATGTAGCACATATATCCAGCAGCCTGCGTCAAGTCCCGCCACCATGCCAGCCCAGCATTCTGAGTGGCGATTGTTCGAGGCGGCACGGGAGGCCGTCATGAATGACACTGCGTGTCTCCTGGCTTGGGAGAGTGGTGGTGATGATGATGATGATGACGATGATGACGATGATGGTGATGCTGCTGCTGCTGATGATGATGATGGTGGTGGTGGCGGTGCTGATGTTGATGTTGATGGTGATGTTGGCGGTGGTGATGGTGATGGTGGTGATGCTGATGATGACGATGATGCTGCTGATGATGATTGCGATGCTGAGGTGGCTGCTGCTGCGGCTGATGCTGATGCGAACGATGATGCTGATGCTACTGCTGATGATGCTGACGATGCTGATGATGGCGCTGATAATGATGATGCCGACGATGATGATGAGGATGATGACAATGCTTGTCACCACGATGCTGCTGCAACTGCTGCTGATGATGCTGACGATGCTGTTGATGATGTTGATGACGATGACCATGGCGACGCTGCTGATGATGCTGATTATGGTGATGGAGATGATGAGGATGCTGCTGCAGCTGATTTTACTGCTGACGATGCTGTTTCCGATCCTGATGCTGATGTTAATGAAGATGACGACGATGATGCTGATGCTGATGCTGATGACGACGCTGATGATGCTGCGGCTGATGATGATGGCGATGCTGATGATTGTGATGACGATCACGATGACGATGCTGATGCTGCTGATGATGCCGATGATGAGTATTATGATGACGACGACGACGGTGATGCTGATGATAATGAAGACGATGCTGATGCTGATTATGATGATGTTGAAGATGCTGATGATGACGAGGACGATGACGACGATGATGCTGATGTTGATGATGATGGCGACGCTGCTGGTGATGCTGATTATGGCGATGGAGATGCTGATGATGCTGATGATCATGAGGATGCAGCTGATTTTACTGCTGACGATGATATCGCCGATGCTGATGCTGATGATACTGACGTGGACGATGATGTCGCCGATGCTGATGCTGCTGATGCTGATGATAATGATGCTGACGCTGCTGAGGATGATGCTGCTGGCGATGATGATGTTGCTGATGATGATGATGATGATGATGATGATGATGGCGATGCTGATAATGTGATGACGATCACGATGCCGATGATGATGATGATGATGATGATGATGATGATGCTGATGATGATGATGATGATGATGATGATGATGATGGTGGTGATGATGATGATGATGATGATGATGATGATGAAGATGGTGCTGCTGCTGATGATGATGCTGATGATGCTGATGGTGATGATGCTGCTGTCGATGACGATTCGCATGCTGATGATGATGATGCTGACGACGACGAGGCTGATGAAGCTGCTGTTGATGCTGAGTCTGCTGCTGCTGTTGCTGCTGCTGATGATGATGATGATGTGGTGGATGATGATGATGCTGATGCTGCTGATGATGATGATGATGATGCTGGCGATCATGGTTATGCGGATGCTGATGATGGTGGTGTTGTTTTTGTTGTTGGTGGTGATGATGAGGATGATGATGATACTGGTGGTGGTGATGTCGATGATGATGATGAGGAGGAGGACGCTGATGTCGCCGATGATGATGGTGATGATGATGCTGCTGCTGATGATGATGATGTCGATGATGCTGATGATGATGATGATGATGATGATGATGATGATGATGATGACGATGCTGCTGCTGCTGCTGCTGCTGATCATGATGATGATGATGATGATGATGATGATGATGATGATGATGATGATGATGATGCTGATGCGGATGCTGCTGCTGCTGATGATGATGATGCTGATGCTGATGATGATGATGAGGAGGAGGAGGAGGAGCAGGAGCAGGATGTCCGTCACATGTGACACCTTTCGTCGTCACTACATGACGTTCTCTCGTTGAACTCGCATGTCCCGTCGTGTGGCTGTCCTGGCCTCCTGTGATGCTGTATTGAAGGCCTCTTGTGGCCCTCTTAGGATGTTTTGGGGCCCTCGTCGGCCGTCTTGGGGCTCTCGGGGGAAGTCTTTGGGACCTCTTGACCGTAGAGTGGGTGTCAGGGGAGGGTCTTGGGGCCGTCTTGGCGTCGTCCTGGGCAGTCGAAGGGCCGTCGCTAAGGCAGTCTTGGGACCCACGGGAGGCGCTCTTGGGCCGTCTTGGGAGGGCCAACGTGGGGGCTTCGTGGGCCGTCTTGAGCTGACGGGGGCCTGAAAACAGCGAGATTGTGACACTCATTCAAGCACCATCGGCACATCACTGATTTTGGTTTCTTCGGATCCGGTTGGAGGTCCAGTGGGGGCCCTTTTGCGCCCTCTTGGGGGCATCTTGAGCCGTCTTGAGGCCAGAGTCGGCCGCCTTGGGGCCATCTTGGCCCATCTTCGAGGTATCTTGGGTCATCTTGGTTGCCTTGGTTTCCTCCCTGGTCCGTTATGAAGTTTCTGATGTTGATGCATCGTTTTTTTGTTGCGAGGGATCGTGGCCTCGGCAGCGCGGATCCACAGTTTTTTCTGTTCGAGGAGTTGTTGCTTCGGGAGCAGGGGTGATGCATGCAATTGTGCGGTGGCAGAGGGGGGGGGAGGGGGTCCCTTACTATATTCGCATACAAGAACCCTACAGAGCAGCACCTGGCATTCGAACCCGCCTATCATCGTACAGGCACGATGGCGGATCAGGGCTCTCGCTCCCCGAACGTTGCGACAGCGTATTCGTTGTGTTTCCCGAGTAGGCCCGATTTGGACATGCCGTTTGGATCTTCGAGTTGTTAGGGGCAGTGTTCGCTATGGCAGCTGATTTGCGAATGCAGCCATCCGGCTTTTATCCGTAACCAGTTTGGCTCAAGTCTCGGTTCAAAGAGAGGTATGGCATTCCTGTGTTGCTACTGCCCATGAGCAAGGAGAGCAAATCCTTGCCACAAGCGGCCTGACACTTTCACGCCGCTGTTGTGCTAAGCCAGCAGCGCCATGGACTTATCATTCTTAGATGCCCTTGGAGTGAATTCAGCAAAGGCCGACGATGTTATACGTAGAACCGTGGTTTCCTTGAGAGCTAGCGGCGACAACAAGGACAACTTCCAGCAAGAAAGCATCCAACTCATCCAGGAGCTGTGGGCAGCCGAAGCCATGCATCATGGCAGCGTGAATGAGACCGTACAGATCATCGAATGCATCGTAAAGGCCCTTTTTGGGAATCAAGTGTTGCCAGCTGTTTCATGGTCAAGCATTGCACAGGAGGCTGAAATGTCGTTTGCGAAAAAGGGGAACCGCCTAAAGCGTCGAGCCGATCGTCGCAACAACGGGAATACCCAGGAGCAGCAGAAAAAACGGAACACGCTCTCTGATGCAGCCGTCGCTCACGATAGCTGGATTAACGCGTCGGCAACTCTTGATCCGGACACTTCGCAGGTGCCGTGCGCTTGTGATAAGATGGCTGCGCTGCGCGTGCCGCAGGGAGATGTAGAGAAGGCGTTGCAAGCACTGGGTAAGATGAAGCCATGTTGGAAATCGCTGATGCTTCGGATGACAGGGGCCATCCGGATGCGGAAAGGAGTGCATACACCTGATGACGATCCCGACGGGGTTTTCAGGCTCATAGTATTGCCGCCCCCATTAGATCAGCAAGTCGCCGCAGCAATGCATGCTTCTGCAGCAATGAAGGTTCCTCGCGAAGCTGGTGAGAGTGAGGACATGGCAGCGGAGAAAACGACTGGGAAGAGAAACGGCCATGGATTCATTTCTGGCCCAGCCTCGTCATCTTTGCCACCAGAACTGTTCGCCCTTCTGGAAAGAGGCGTTGCGGTTTTTGAGCCATCCATCGAGCTTCCATCCTTTCACACGTGCCCCCCCGCAGACCCTAGGTTGGCAGAGCTTGGAGCCCTACCTTTGCCAGCACACGAGGACACCGCCCAGGATTCAAGTAGATTTGGAAATCATCAGGACGGGATCCACTGCTGCGGCTCTCTGCGGCCATTTCGCTTTATAGAGCTTTTTTCTGGCATTGGCGGTTTCCGGGTAGCACTGGACGCATTGGGGGGACAATGTGTGTTCGCCTCTGACGTGCATCCAACCGCCAGGGCTGTCTATCGGGAGAATTGGCCAAGGAAGTTGGATGGAGGCAAGAACGATATTCTTTCTGGTGACATCAGGTTAGTGCCAGCAGAGGCAGTACCCGAACACGACATTCTAACAGCTGGTTTCCCATGCCAGCCATTTACAGGACTTGGGAAGCAACGCGGTGTCAATGAACCAAAAGGCCAGTTGTTTCTTCACATCTGCAGGATTCTGCGCACCCGCCGTCCTCCCCTTGCATTGCTGGAAAATGTGACCGGGCTAACGAACACAGATGATGGGTGTGCCATGCAAGCGGTGCTGGACGAAATTAGGTCTTCTGGCTATCGCGTGGCGTACCGTGTATACGATAGCCGCTACTTGGTGCCGCAAAAGCGGAAGCGTGTGTACATTGTGGCCATCAGGGCTGACTTGGAGGACGTTTGCAATAAGTTTCGGTTCCCTTGGGTGCCAGACTTGGGGCGCTCTCTGGGTGAGGCACTAGAAAGGCCACTGCCAAGTGGGGAAGCTGAGCGCTTGGTGCTCTCAGAAGACCAATGGAGCAGAATAGCAGCTTCACAGCCTTTCCGTGATAATCCAAACAATATCCTGGCGCGTCTGGATCTGCCGGCAAATACTTTGATATCGTCATATGGCGAATGTAAGACCAGCTCAAGGTTTTGCAGGTTGTCGCAATTAGTACACCGTTGCGAGTGTCACCAGGATCGATTTGCCGCGGCCGACTCTCCACCAAGATATTTCAGTTCCCGAGAATGTGCCCGAATTCAGGGCTTCCCAGAAACGTTCTTGTATTCTGCCTGTGATGGACCGTACTCCTGGTATCGCCTGATTGGGAACGCTGTTTCGCCGCCAATAGTTTGCGCACTGGCTGGAGCTTTGCTGTGCGCTCTACGCCACCAGGGCCAGCAATGCACAATGCCAGGAACTGCATGTGCAGTGCGACTAGCGCTGGGCTCTGGAACTGAAGAGGCGAGATCGCGGTTGCTCGAACTGGATGTCGAAGGGCCAGGATCTCTAGGACAAATCAAGCTTCGGACGTTGCTGGACTCCCTTGAAGGATGACATGTGGAGCAGACATGTGCAGATCAACCTCATTCGTGAGTTTTGTTGTGACTACGGCGCCAGTGGGAAGCATCCTTAGGGCGTGCAACGGTGTTTAGCTGGAGCCATTCCCGAATCCAGCAAAACATGTAGTACAACGTGCTCCTTTGCGTGATGTGCGTTCGCACAGGCTTCTCGAGTAGCTTGGATATGTCTGCAGACAGTTGATGTGCTTGGATGTTTTGCGAGTGTGGGCCATACCGCAAGGGATCCTGGCGCTTGCGTCTAGGAACGTGTGCAGAAGCAGTTGGATCTAGCAGCTGTGGGCGCAGCCCTAGGAGGGGGGTCCTGCCTCCTAGACCACCCATGGATCATTGCCAAACGAAGGTGCAAGTGTGGGTGTACGTGTGTCTGCTGGTCAGTATGGGCACACATGGAGGACAGGAGGTTCGCGAGAGAGACAGGGAGAGAGAGAGAGAGAGATAGAAATGCGGTGTGAGCTACGGCGCAGCCGGCGTGCTGTCCCGCCCTGGGCCCCGTTGGCGTCGTGAGCTATCGTGTGGACCCCTTCCTTCACCGATCTATACATCTATAATGAGAGGGAAGGTGATTGAGATAGGTAAGACTTTAGAGATGATGATTCGGATATTGATGATGATGATGCTGATTTGGATGGCGATGATTATGCTGCTGATTTGGATGGCGATGATTATGCTGCTGATGATGATGATGCTGGTGATGGTATAATGATGACGGTAATGACGATGATGATGCGGATGCTGATGATGGTGATGATGTTGGCTATGCTGATGATGATGATGATGCTGACGATGATGATGAGCATGATGATGCGGATGATGATGATGATGCTGATGATGACGATGATGAGCATGATGATGCGGATGATGATGATGATGATGATGATGATGATGATGATGATGATGATGCTGATGCTTATGATGATGATGAGGATGAGGATGAGGATGAGGATGAGGATGATGATGATGATGATTATGATGATGATGATGATGATGATGATGATGATGATGATGCTGATGATGATGATGATGATGATGCTGCTGCTGCTGATGATGATGATGATGATGATGATGATGATGATGATGATGATGATGATGATGATGATGATGATGATGATGATGATGATTACTGTTATTATTATTAGTGTTATTATCCTTATTAGTATTCTAATTATTATTATCATTATTATTCTCATCATCATCATCATCGTCATTATTATTATTATTATTATTCGTATTATTATTACTATTATTACTATTATTATTATTATTGTTCTTCTTCTTCTTCTTATTATTATTATTACTACTATCATTATTATTATTATTATTATTATTATTATTATTGTTATTATTGGCTGACGCCGCACCGCCGACCCCTTGGGGCGGCAGTAAGAGTGAACAACGGAATTTGCGGAACGATTTCTGGGGATTCTTGGGGTTTCAGCTTCTTGGAATTTCGTCGGGGGCGGTTGGCGGATCGCGGCTCTACTTTTGGGTTTCTCTGGGTTCTCCTCGCAGCATATTTGAGGCCTCTTGGGAGCCATTTTGAGGCCTCTAGGAGCCTCTTCTGGGCTCTCGGGAGCCTCGTGGGAGCCTCTTGGGGGCCTATTGGCGCCTCCTGAGGTTTTTTCGGGGCCGAGTGCTCGAAATGTTCGTTCGGGTTCCCCCTCTGGGCCTCTTGGGGCCGTCCTGGGGCCCTCCTGGGTCGTTTTGGACGCTTCTGGGGCCGTCTTGGGGCCCTCTTGGGCCGTCTTGGAGCCCCCTTGGGGGCCTCTTGGGCTATCTTGGAACGATCTTGAAGGCTTCTTTTTCGAGCCGTTGTGGGCCTCGTGGAAGCCCAAGAGGCGAATGTGCTGAAATTATATGGTTTCCCTGGGGAATGGGACGATTTTTGCTTTTGGAAGGCCTCTTGGGACGCCTCTTGGTGGCTTCTTGGGGCGTTTTGGAGGCCTCTGGGACTGTCGGGAGGCAATCTTGGGCGTCTTGGAGCGATCCTTCGGCGACCCGTAGCCCTCTTGGACCGTCTGGGGAGCCTTTTGGGGCCCTCTTGGCCCGTTTTGGGGCCCCCTGAGGCTCCAAGGGTGCGGCTGGCACCTTTGCACCCCCCCCCCCCCTCCTCCAAACCGGTCGGACTGGTCTTCCAGGGGAGGGGTTTGGGGCGGCGGAAGCATCTCACACGCCGCGACCCCAGAGGGTCGGCGGATTATGATGATGATGATGATGATGATGATGATGATGATGATGATGATGATGATGATGATGATGATGATGATGATGATGATGATGATGATGAGGGATGTAATGGTGCTGGTGATGATGCTGCTGATCTTGATGGTGATGCTGATGCTGATTATGATGATGGTGGTGATGATGACGATTGTGTTCTTGATGGTGGTGATGATGACGGTGATGGCGATGCTGATTATGTGGATGCTGACGACGATGATGATGCGTATGATGATGATGATGATGATGATGATGATGATGATGATGATGATGATGATGATGATGATGATGATGATGATGATGATGATGCTGATGATGATGATGATGATGCTGATGATGATGATGATGATGATGGTGGTGGTGGTGGTGGTGATGATGATTATGCTGCTGGTGACGATAATGCTGCTGCTGATGATGGTGCTTATGATGAGGATGATGATGCTGCAGATGATGATGTTGATGCTGATGCTGATTCTGATGCTGCTGATGATAATGATGCTGATGCTGCTGCTGATGAGGTTGATGCTGATCATGATGATTCGGAGATGATGGTGGTGATGCATGTATTTATACATATATATATACATAGATGCATGGTGACGATGGTCATTCGTATGTATTACACATCCATGCGTACCATATACACCTGGAGACAGAGAGAGAGAGAGAGAGAGAGAGAGAGAAAAAGGCACTGTCAGGGCTGCGATTCAGACAACTGTCGCGCAACCGTCGCGGGGCCATCTGACGTGAAGCACAATGCTCCGGCAGTGTAGGGCCCAATCTCTTCGAGAATGACAGGGGGATGCATTCGTTTCTTGTCGTCGCACCACGGGAGAGGCGAGGAGAGGGGTGTCGAGCAAGGCTGGTGGGGAACAGGGAGAGGTCAGGCGAGGGGAGGCGAGGGCCTGGAAGGGGAGCAATGCTTCCTCCAGCATCGATCTGATCGAACCGCGCCCGCCCTGCAGCATCTGGCGGAGATCGGTGCCCGAGGAGGTCCCAGGGGGGAAGGGGAAGCAGCCGCGCGCCCCAGCCCCGTGAAGGAGCCTCGCTCGCATGGGCAGCGCGGTCAGCATCTTCGGCCGGGCCCTCGGGTGCTTGTTCGGCCCCGCCATGGTGCGCGGCGCCTGGCACCGCCTGCCTGCCTGCCCCTGGGGCGCTCCTCGGAGGAACAGCACGGCGTCGGCACCTGGCCGTCCCCCATCCCCCCAGGGGCGTGCCACAGCATCCGCGCCTCGCCTGGAGCTAGAGCTTTCAGGGTGGGCGCTGGGGTTGCTTCTGTGGTCAACCTGGGTGACTGTAGAATGGGATCCGAATAGTTTTTTTTTTTGGCTAGGATGGCGGCACTTAGCGGCACGCGCGCTTGTGGCTCCGAGGGGGTCGGAGGTCTCACTCACGCGACAGGCCGTGAGTGGCCGGTAGTGGCCGCTGCTGGTAGCCGCCAGTGGCCACTACAGGCCGCTATAGTGGTCGCTGGTGGCCGCTAAGTGCTGCAAAAGGGCCGCTCGTGGCCGCCACAGGCCGCCAGTGGCCACTGCAGGCCGCTGCGGCGAGGCGCCGTCCGCGCGCCGCTCACTGACGCGTGGGCCCTGGGGGGTGGCGGGCCTGCCGGTGGAGCCTCCAGCCCAAGGGGGGCGGCGGGGGCGGGTCCTCGGTCCTCGCCCGCCTCCTGCTGCGCCCGGGGTGTGCCCCGGGGAGGGGTACGGCAGGCTCGTGTCGTGCTGGCGCGGCCGCGACCCCAGCGCGGTCGTTCGAGGTTGAGCGCCGCCAGGGGCTTAGAATCGGCCAACGTGGAAGGACCTGGCGATCGAAAAGCAGCCGATCGTCAAGGTTGAACGATCCACGCGGTGTCAGAAGCCGGCGACGGAGTTCGTCACGGCACGAACCTGCCGTGCTTCCCGCACCGCTGGTTGACGGGGGGGGGTCGCAGGCCACGCTTGGGGGGCCTCTCATAGAGCCTCTGCGGGCCCGTTCCCCCCCATTGGGAAAGATCCCTGCCTTGGCGAGGCCGCACCGCCCCCCCCCCCGCCCGCCCGCCCTTCGCAGAAGCCTCTGGCGGTCTCCAAGAGCCTGCGGAGGCTTCGGAGGCTTCAGGGAGCCCCGCAGGGTGAGGGAGTTGGAGTTGCAATTGGGGGTAGGGGGTAGGAGGGGAGGGAGGTGGGAGGAGGTGGAGGGAGGAGGGAGGAGGGATGAGGGAGCAAGGAGGAGTGATGAGGGAGAGATGGAGGGAGGAAGAGAGGGGCACTGTCGACCAGGGAGGGATACCGACAGTATTTGGTATCCCCTCCTGGTCGACCCGACAGGAGGGAGGGAGGGAGGAAGGGAGGGAGGAGTGGAGTGGAGTGGAGAGGAGAGGAGAGGAGGGAGGAGGAGAAGGCGGAGGAGGAGGAGGGAGGAGGAGGAGGAGGAGGAGGAGGAGGAGGAGGAGGAGGAGGAGGAGGAGGAGGGAGGAGGGGGAGGAGGAGGAGGAGGAGGGAGGAGGAGGAGTTGGAGGAGGAGGAGGAGGAAGAGGAGGAGCAGGAGGAGGAGGAGGAGCAGGAGGAGGAGGAGCAGGAGGAGGAAGGGCCGGGAGGGAGGGTGAACAGGGAGGGAGGAGGAGGGTGGACAGGGAGGAAGGGTGGGAGGAGGGAGGGGGAGGAAGGAAGAGGAGGAGGAGGAGGAGGAGGAGGAGGAGGAGGAGAGGAGGAGGAGGAGGAGGAGGAGGAGGAGGAGGAGGAGGAGGAGGAGGAGGAGGAGGAGGGAGGAGGAGGAGGAGGAGGAGGAGGACGAGGAGGAGGAGGACGAGGAGGAGGAGGAGGAGGAGGAGGAGGAGGAGGAGGAGGAGAGGATGAGGAGGAGGAGGAGGAGGAGAGGAGAAGGAGGAGCAGGAGGAGGAGGAGGAGGAGGAGGAAAGGGCCGGGAGGGAGGGTGAACAGGGAGGGAGGAGGCAGGGTTGACAGGGAGGAAGGGTGGGAGAGAGGGAGGGGGAGGAGGAGGAGAGGAAGGAGGAGGAGGAGGAGGAGGAGGAGAGAGGGAGGAGGAGAGGAGGAGGAGGAGGAGGAGAGGAGGAGGAGGAGGAGGAGGAGGAGGAAGAGGAGGAGGAGGAGGAGGAAGAGGAGGAGGAGGAGGAGGAGGAGGAGGGCGACGGCGGTGTCATTCCTCT